AATCATGTTGCTTCACTATTCTCACTATCTACACAACAATCAAGTTCCTTCTGAACACGAAGCTCGCGAAATCAAAGCACTCAGGATGAATCCTTTGGAAGAAATTTCAGTGGTAAATGCAGAGATCGAGCGAATTGAAAGCATCTTGGACTCCCTCAAACGAAAACGGGCCAACATCCAAAAATCGATTGACGATTGCAATACTGTCCTTGCTCCTGTTCGTCGTCTATCCATGGATATTTTGGGCGTAATATTCATCTATTGCCTTGCCACGTATCGGAATCCAATTATGGACGCTTCAGAGGCACCCATCCTTCTCACTCATATCTGTCGTGATTGGAGATCGATCGCTGTATCAATCCCTCGACTATGGTCCAGGATGTATATCCCTCTCTTGCAGGGATACCGGTATGGACCTATATCGTCTATTCAGGGTGGGGAGGGTCGGATGGAAGCCCGTTCTGAAGAGACGCAGAGGTGGTTGAGACTCTCCGGTGCCTGTCCTTTGTCGATCACGATGATACCAGCTGCAGGCCTCGTCTCCCATCAGCCACTATTAGATGCCATTATACAATCGTCTCGACGTTGGCAGCGATTTGAATTGGGAATCCTTTCTCCTTATTCCGATGTATCCACACGAATCCTCAGCCTTTCCGCGGATGATTTATGTATGCTTCGAGAGGTACGACTCCATTCAATGGACAACCCCAGCCCGGACACGGGCGAAGATCTGTGGCATCAGAGTGGTATTCTTACTGCGCAAGGATTACGTAGCATTTCCATTGCGCACGTCTACCCAGACATGTTTCCCATCGGCATCCCTCCAAACTGGAAAAATCTCCACCACTTATTCATCCATTCCCAGGTCGCCTTAGGACCTGCGGGTCAAATGTTGAGCTATTGTTGTAACCTCATTTCCTGTCTTCTCATAATCGAATGGGATAGCGACGATCTTCCTAATGCCTCTATCACCGTTTCATCTTCTTTTCTTCCCCATCTTAAATTTCTATCGCTTCAAGGAGACCCCAGTGGCTGTAGCCAATTATTCTGCAAATTAGAAGCGCCGTCCCTACGCACTCTCGATTGTCGTGGAGATTGTCCTAGTGAAAATGAGAGGTCTTGCATGTTTCGGTTCCTTGAGAGGATCAATTCCCTCGAAACTCTCATGTTGGACAACCACCACCTCGCCGGGGATAATGCATTAAAATGCAGTACCGTTGCTCCTTCACTCTCTCATCTAGTTCTTGGTCAATCGCCTGAAGAACAATATATGCGTTTGCTTCCATTCCTTCCACATCCCGAACAAGTCGACTTGATGACTGCTCTCCACAAGACCAAACATCAACATTTCCCTGATTCTGCGCCGACCGTTCTTTTTCCATCATTGGAAGTCTTTGAAGCATATTATTGTATTCCAAGCATAACTGACCAGGATCTTTTGGAATTCATCATGGCCAGAATCGACGCGACAAGGTCGAACACTGCCATTTCAAAACTCAGAAAGGTCTTGGTCCACTTCACGAGGACCAGACAGATGGACATTGTACCTGAGGCTTTAGCTTACGCACAAGCGGCGGGGATTGAACTTGAACTCGATCTGAGGTATTATACAGGAACCGAATTGGGAAATACTTGGTCGCCGTCGTATGGTCTCTCTGCTGAGGGTACATCGTGGGCATACCCCTTGGATGATTATTGATTTTATACTTCAAGTTACAGGCAGAATGAAAGTATTTAAGTAATACTCTTGCTAACGTCATGGCCATTTCGATGTGGAATTTGGTATTCGTTAGTCTTCCCTCTTCAAAAGGATGGCCATTTGTAGCAAGTTTCGAGCTTAAAATCGCTAATATTCAATGCTTCTTGACTGCCCTATGTACATGCCCTACTAACTGGAAGTGTGCTACGTATAATATCACCGTCACTATCCTTGCCATATCGTTTGTTAAACAATACTGAACTTCCACATCCTTGTTAAGGTTACTATATAATAAGAGCGAACAAAAACCGAACAAATCTATCAACCATTAGAAAGTCTGGGTTCCATACCGGGTGTTGGCTAGAATCTTGGCGAGTTATCTGATGTCCTCCAGAACTACCGTGCATTGTGACGTCCCCCTAATTATAACTTAATATAAGAGACACATAAGAGATCGAATCACTAAATAAGTACAGTAATGGAAGGCGCTCATAAATTTAAAATAAAACACAGTATCATAAATATTTTTTATCAGAGCCATTAACATAATATTTTCAGGGTAAAAGTTAAGGATTCTAATGAAGAGATCATGCATTAAATGGATGCAAAATTCCAGGATTGTTTTATAAATATAAATACCTTGAGATATTGACCAAGACTAGTGCTTTTTGGGCTGCGACATTGTGGGTCCACCGAAACCATACGATGAAGCAAGCTGCCCAAATGCGAGTTCGTAACCCTCCGGTGATCGTGCTTTTTGCGAGTCGGTTGGAGCATCGCAATTCTTGGATCGTGGAGGCAGATATGACGAGTTCCTCAGTTTTGAGGGTTTCTGAGAGGTGGAAGGGCCCGGGGTGGAAGGTGCTTTCCATTGAAACCGTATAGTGAGGACAGTGTGGCGAAAGCCGATGTCCAATCTTTTTGAGGCGATTGTCTTTGTTTTGATTCAGAGGAAATCAATGAAGTGGTTGACGACATTGTGGCCGATAAGAATATTTATTTGGGAGGATGAAAGATGATGTGAAAATAAACCGACTGTGGTGTTGGAAACGATGAGACTTACAAGAAAACAGTGCACGTCTTATATACTACTCGAATGTGGCCTCCATCACTCCGCGTATGAGTCATTTGAGAAAGGCATTGCAGTGTGGGTATTCAAGTCGGCATTAGGATTGCAGCACCGCAGTTGACTCAACTGTGCAGTACATTTGGATCTAATACAGGGTTCCTTGAATATTTGAAGTTCGACTCATATCTATTTTTATGAGTGTTATGATCGCGCTGTGCACTTGAAATGACGAGGACTGTTAGTGGCTCCAGCGCGACGGAGTTGGACTACTTCAAGCCCAGTAAAAATCGGATCTGACGTAAGGTAGGGGCTTTACAAACGTGATGGGAAAATAAAATTGAAATAGCGCCTTCGACAGGACAAAAATGCAAAATTTCAGTCACACCAAGTTTGAAAAGAAAACTTCTTATCTATCGACTACAGCTGAAATTTTGATTTTGTCCAAATTGCGAGCGCTATTGAGTTTTTTTTTTTTTTTTGACGATAATTAATCACGTGACGTTTGTGCCTTAGATTCTAGAAGTTAGCCGGGAAGATACCCAGGAGCGTTCGGGCTGCGCACTGTACCGTAACGGTGACCCAGCAAGATCGAACAGAAAGATGGAGGCCAATGCTTACCAGTATTATAATCAGACGTCCCTGTTTATCTTATCTTATCCTTAGAACTTGAGGGCCCATTCTCGCACACGATATAAGTCACGGTCTAAGTACTGATCATGATTGGAGCAAACTTACTGGTACTACTTTGATCTGATTAGCTTAGGCACAGATCGTCAACCAGTAAGAGCACGCCAGAAGACCTTAATCAGGAGATTGGGATGGAGAGATTCAATTCCCAAAAACATTTTGGTGTGCCATAAGACAGACCCTGGAGTCTGGTTAGACACCGCTCATGAGTGAGTCCCAAGAAGTAGAGTAGACTTACTAGCCTGCTCATCCTAAGATTGTTTACATTTCAGTCGACGTTCAAGATATCGAGAACAGGTAAAAATAAACTTACAACAGCAGAAAGGTACGTTGAACACCATACCATCGAAGCAACCTGCCTGTAGACAACGATTCTCCCGGAAGCGGCGTCGTAGTAGTAAAACTGTAATCTAAATAACTCCACAATAAGTGGCATCAGGTAATGTCAATCAACCATACCACCTATTTTAGTTCTTTGCCTTTTACTTCCATGAGAGATAATGTAAATTGGAAAGAGGAACATTGCGTACCACATGGGCTCAATCTTTGTTGCTTGTGTGATAAAAAATGATCTCGCAAAATTCTGCGGCAAAGTTTGAGGCTCCAGCCCTTTGATTGTTGAGAGCATTATATTCAGCGCAATGGCTCCTAAGATAGCTTTGAGGATTCCATGCCTATGATTTTGGCGACATAAGCGCATTAAGCAACTCGAAGATAAAATGAGCTCACCCGTAGAATGAGTTGAGTCTCATTACAGAATCTCCTGTTATGAATCTTATGATCATGTTGTAGGGAAGATTAACCCCAGATCATAGACGGAAGGTGCGAAATGTAAAATTTAAATATCAGCCTGTTGATGAATAATTAAACACGTACGGAACGCGGACTGCATCATGAGTAAACGTGACAGACTCGTCCTTGAATCGCGACACGATTTCGAAAATCCATGATGGCATTGGCTCATCAAGGGTGGCATCAAAGCTTGTGAAGTAGGCCTCAAGTGTTTCTGCGTCTTTAGGAAGATCAGAGGATCCCCATGCGCCGCAGGCGATTTTTCATCCAGCGTAGAGTAATGCGTCCGATGATCTAGAGGGTATGTGCCTTTGGGGTAAAAAATTGCGTAACCATAACCAGCACGTTCCAGCCACTTCATGCCTGCAGTGGAACCCGTGCAGTCTATGTGGATGAGGGGGCAGATGAGACATGATGAAGAATAAGTCAATCATGGTCGTACCGGCTACCATTGTTGTTTCGACATTCTGAATTCCGTCGACAGTTCTCACCGAAACCTTCTGAATGCGTGAAGGATCAGTAGGATCGGCATGAACTGCCGTCACAGTACCAATGATGGTTTCAATGTTCGGATACTTCTAAGTTCTGTTCACCAAGGCGAAGGAGGCTCTCGACTCCTGCACGACCCCAATGAGGAATTTCTGGCAGCTTGCCATTGAAAAACTTGTAGGGTGCTGGTGTGGGCTTGCCTCTTATATTCTGCTTCCAATCTGCGGGTAGAATGCTGTTTTGAGGATATCACATGAGGTGGTGGATGCGGAATGGTGGTTACTTAATTTACCGTATGTCGGAAGCCAAACATTCTTTCTCAAAGTTCGGGAAGAGTCTTTTGAGACCAAGGAAGCCCATAAGTTGGATCGGACCTAGTAAAAGCTGGTGAGCAGAGAACAGGCCTTCAATCCGAGTGGCTTACCTTGAGCAGAGCGATACTGCATAACTCTGGTGCGCTTATTCTTCTGAGTCATGCCTGAGTCGGCATTCCATCATCAGCCAAGCCTCGGGCTCTATGATCAAGACCCGCTCAAAGTGGTCATGACACACACGTGCGATTATCAAGCCAGATATACTATATACATAGTAAAGTGATTCGTATCAGTCAATAAACAGCAAACAGCGAGCTCAAGAGTGCCTCACCTACCACCACAAATTACAACTGTGCCTTTTATCTTGTCTTCTTTTTCGCGAGGTTTCCCTCCTAACTTGAACAGAGGTAGATCTAGAATGGCAGTTTCTTTAGCGAGAAGTTGTTGTCGAAGCCAGTTCCATGCTAGTAGCAGAGAAGATAGTGGGCGATTGGTATGGCGAGAACCAACCAGAAGGTAGTCACAGCCATGTCGACAGGAGGTGAGGGGAGAAAATAAGTCCAGTACGATACTTAAATAATTTGAGGTTAAATATGCAACGTACACAAAAAAGTCAAAATACAATATAAAAGTAGTCGATACAGGGTTAAAGGTGGCCAACCCTGACAGTTAATTGTCGTAAATATTATAATATTACGGCAACGGCACACTGTGACAATAATTAATGCATAATGGCTGGTCCCGAGGCTATGCAGTTATGAGAACTTCTACTGTATAGGTCTATTGACGCAAAAAAATAACTACAACTGGGAAACTTCAGCACTTGGTAACGTATGTAGGCTCCGTAAACCTGTTGGAGATAATTATAAACGACCCGATCCTTGAAAAAAGTTTCCACACAAAGTCGAAAACAGCGCAACACACGTGCGGATAACTCGGTGACTTTTTTCCCAAGTTACTGATGTCCAGTAGACTGAGACTCCCAAGATGGACAACTCAATTACTTTTCTTCCCAATCTGAAGCTCTACCTAGGCTTTATTCGCCAGAATTACACGACGAGATAAAATCATGTTGCTTCACTTTTCTCATTATCTACACAACAATCAAGCTCCTTCTGAACACGAAGCTCGCGAAATAAAAACACTCAGAATGAATCCTTTGGAAGAAATTTCAGTGATAGATGCAGAGATCGAGCGAATTGAAAGCATCTTGGACTCCCTCAAACGAAAACGGGCCAACATCCAAAACTCAATTGACGATTGCAATACTGTCCTTGCTCCTGTTCGTCGTCTATCCATGGATATTTTGGGCGTAATATTCATCTATTGCCTTGCCACGCATCGGAATCCAATTATGGACGCTTCAGAGGCTCCCATCCTTCTCACTCATATCTGTCGTGATTGGAGATCAATTGCGATCTCAACACCTCGACTATGGTCCAAGATGTATATCCTTCCCTTGGAGCGAGTCACAGGGTACTGGCATACTCTACTGCCTATCCAGGATGGGGATCGGAGGGAAGCACGTTCTGATGAGACGCAGAGGTGGTTGAGACTCTCTGGTGCCTGTCCTTTGTCGATCACGATGGTGCCAGTTGGAAGCCTCGTCTCCCATCAGCCACTATTGGATGCCATTATACAATCATCTCGACGTTGGCAACAACTTGAATTGGGACTCCTTCCTCCTTATTCCGATGTATCCACACGAATCCTCAGCCTTTCCGCAGATGATTTATGTATGCTTCGAGAGGTACGACTCCATTCAACGGACAACTCCAGCCAGGACACGGGCGAAGATCTGTGGCATCAGAGTGGCATTCTTACTGCACAAGGATTACGCAGCATTTCTATTGCGCATTTCCACCCAGGCATATTTCCTATAGGCATCCCTCCAAACTGGAAAAATCTCCATCACTTATTCATCCATTCCTGGGTCGCCTTAGGACTTGCAGGTCAAATGTTGAGCCATTGTTGTAACCTCGTTGCCTGTTTTCTCAAAATCGACTGGGATGGCGGCGATCTTCCTAATGCCTCTATCACCGTTTCATCTTCTTTTCTTCCCCATCTTAAATTTCTATCGCTTAAAGGGGACCCCAATGGCTGTAACCGATTACTCTATAAATTAGAGGCACCGTCCCTGCGCACTCTCGATTGTCGCGGAAAGTGTCCTAGTGAAAACGAGAGGTCCGGCCTGTTTCATTTCCTTCAGAGCATCAATTCCCTCGAAACTCTCATGTTGGACATCCACCACCTCACGGGAGATAATGTATTAAGATGCAGTACCCTTACTCCTTCGCTTTCGAATCTAGTTTTTGGTAAATGTCCTGAAGAACGACGTATGCGTTTGCTTCCATTCCCTCATCCGCATCCCGAACAAGTCAACTTGATAACTGCTCTCTACGAAATCAAACATCAACATTTCCCTGATTCTGCGCCGACTGTTCTTTTTCCATCTTTGGAAGTTTTAGAAACATATGATATTCCAAGCATAACTGACGAAATTCTCTTGGAATTCATCATGGCCAGAATCGACGCGACAATGTCGAACACTGCCGTTTCAAAACTCAGACGGGTCTCGGTCTACTTCGCGAGGACTAGACAGATAGACATTGTACCTGAAGCTTTAGCCTATGCACAAGCATCGGGTATTGAACTTGAACTCGATCTGATGTATTATGTAGAAACCGAAGGGGTAAATGCTTGGCCGCCGTCATGTGGTCCGACCCCTGTTGGGACATCGTGGAAATACTCCTTGTATGATTGCGAGCGTGACGAGGAATTTTGGCTCCAAGGGTGAAAGGCCCGGACGAACAAATACGAATTTCAGGCGCGTAAATTCTATCGGTAACCTTCTTGAATATGCCCTGTATTATCTCCGTATTGTTCCCCGTTCCCCTTGAAATTTTAGAATTAGATAGCGGACTTTAACGTTTACACTATATGCATGCCTACCAGTTTTTGAAGTGTGCTGCATATGATATTATCATCACTATCCTCGCCATATTGTTTGTTAAACGGTACTGAATTTCCACATATTGTTAAGGTTGCTATATAAGAGCGAATAAAAACCGAGCAAACTAATCATCCATTAAAAGGTCTGGGTGGCTAGCCTCTTGGAGAGTTATCCGATGTCCTCCAGAACCACCATGTATTGCGACTCCTCCTAATTATAAGAGACACATAAGAAATCGAATCACTAGATAAGTACAGTAATGGAATGCGCTCATAAAACCCAGTATCATACATTTTTTATCAAAATCATCAACATAATATTGTCAGGGCAAAATTTAAGGATTCTAACGAAGAAATAATGCATTATATAAATGCAAATATTGACCAAGAATACTTAGTGGTTTTGGGCTGCGAAATTGTGGGTCCACCGAAACCATACGATGAAGCAAGCTGCCCAAATCCGAGTTCGTAACCCTCCAGCGATTGTGTTTTTTGCGGGTCTGTTGGAGCATTGTAATTCTTGGATCGTGGAGGCACATATGACGAGCTCCTCAGTTTTGAGGGTTTCTGAGGGGTGAAAGCGATGGAAGGCGCCTTTCCATCGAAACCGTATAGTGAGGACAGTGTGGCGAAAGCCGATGTCCAATCTTTCTGAAGCGATTGCCTTTGTTTTGATTCGGAGGAAATCAGTAAAGTGGCTGGTGACATGGTGGTCGATAAGAACATGTATTTGGGAGGATGAAATATAATGTGAAGATAGACCGACTCTGATGTTGGTTATTGAGCGATGAGACTTGCAAGAAAACAGCGCAGGTCTCATATACCACCCGAATGTGGCCCTGATCATTCCGCGTATGAGTCATTTGAGAAAGGCATTGCAATGTGGATATTCAAGTCATAGGCATTAGGATTGCAGCACCGCAGTTGACTCAACTGTGCAGTACATTCGCGGGGAGTTCTGAGGTGAAATATGGGCCTAATACAGGGTTCCTTGAATATTTGAATTTGAAGTTCGAGTCATATCTATTTCTATGAGTGTTATGATCGCACTGTTGGACGCTCCAGGCGAGCAAGCCCAGTAAAAATCGGACCTGACGTAAGGTAACAGCGCAACACCTGCAGACAACTCGTGACTCTTTTTCCCATGTCCTTTAGACTCCCAAGATGGACAAGCAAAGCGTCTATGGAGCGTCTTACTCTATTACTTTTCTTCCTAATCTAAAGCTCTACCTCAGTTTTATCCGCCAGACCGAATAAAGTCATGTTGCTTCACTATTCTCATTATCTACACAACAATCAAGCTCCTTCTGAACACGAAGCTCGCGAAATAAAAGTACTCAGGATGAATCCTTTGGAAGAAATTTCAGCGGTAAATGCAGAGATCGAGCGAATTGAAAGCATCTTGGATTCCCTCAAACGAAAACGGGCCAACATCCACAAATCGATCGACGATTGCAATACTGTCCTTGCTCCTGTTCGTCGTCTATCCATGGATATTTTGGGCGTAATATTCATCTATTGCCTTGCCACGCATCGGAATCCAATCATGGACGCTTCAGAAGCTCCCATCCTTCTCACTCATATCTGTCGTGATTGGAGATCAATCGCTTTATCAATCCCTCGACTATGGTCCAAGATGTATATTCCTCTCTTGCAGGGAGTCACAGAGTATCGGTATGAACCCCTATCGTCTATTCAGGATGGGGAGGATCGGATGGAAGCACGTTCTGAAGAGACGCAGAGGTGGTTGAGACTATCCGGTGCCTGTCCTTTGTCGATCACGATAATTCCAGCTGGAGGCCCCGTCTCCCATCAGCCACTACTGGATGCCATTATACAATCATCTCGACGTTGGCAGCAATTTGAATTGGGATTCATTTCTCCTGATTCGGATTTATTAAAGCGAATCTTCAGCCTTTCCGCAGATGATTTATGTATGCTTCGAGAGGTACGACTCCATTCAACGAACACCTCCAGCCCGGACACGGGCGAAAATGTTTGGCATCAGAGTGGCATTCTTACTGCGCAAGGATTACGCAGAATTTCCATTGCGCACATCCACCCAGACATGTTTCCTATAGGCATCCCTCCAAACTGGAAAAATCTCCATCACTTATTCATCCATTCCTGGGTCGCCTTAGGAATTGCAGGTCAAATGTTGAGCTATTGTTGTAACCTCATTTCCTGCCTTCTCAAACTCCAATGGGATGAAGGCGATCTTCCTAATGCTTCTATCACCGTTTCATCTTGTTTCCTTCCCCATCTTAAATTTCTATCGCTTCAAGGGGATCCCAATGGCTGTAACCAATTATTATGCAATTTAGAAGCGCCGTCCCTGCGCACTCTCGATTGTCCTGATTATCCTAGTGAATATGAGAAGTCTGGCCTGTTTCAGTTCCTTGAGAGGATTAATTTCCTCGAAACTCTCATGTTGGATAACCACCACCTCACTGGGGGTAGTGCGTTAAAATGCAGTACCCTTGCTCCTTCGCTCTCTCATCTGGTTCTTGGTCGATCGCCTGAAGGACGATTTATAACT